CTTGCCTGTACAGTGACGCCTCGCGCCACAATCAGACCTGTCTAAGTAAAAGAGCGTAGACGAGAGGTGGTAGTTGTGCGTTTAGCACTTAAAAGCATTGGACACGATGGCTAGAGGGTGGTGCGGTTTCGCTGACGTCATTCAACGCCATTGGTGGACTAGATAATTCAGCGCGGTGGTGTGGCCGAGATCACCTGTCAACGACATTCCACCAATCATGCTCAATGACGTCACCGAAATCGCCCCGCCCCTTAGCTATCGGGCTCACCGCTTTTAAGGCTTCGAATTATAAGCGCGCAGATTCAAAGCCCACGTAATGGTTACCAAAAACGCAAGCAAACTTGATTCTAGCGCAGAATCATCAGAAACGACATTATAAGTTTAGATATTCAATAGTTATTCCACTCTCGTAGAAACGGCATGCTATCTATGCTATCTATTGTTAACTACTCTTGGCAAGTAAAGCAATAAGTCAAACAAGTAACGGACCTTGAACCACCCTCGCACTGCTCGCCGCTGTCACAACTGTCCAGTGGTCTAGCCAGCACCACGTTCTTCATTATGGGAGTTGTCGGTACTGGAAGTGCTACACAGTGTCCGGATACAGCGATGAATCCGTACTGGCAACGACATTGACCTGATTGACAACTGAAAAGTAGCGCCATTATTTATCTCAGTGATATGCAAAGGCCAATACTTGTATGGTAGTTCTGAAGTAACATTTCATTACGAATACTGTAGGGGTACTGAACACGATGGCCGAAGGGCGGAGCGATTCTGATGACGTCATAGAGCGTAACTGGTTGAAGGGTAATGGGAGGTTGTTCCTGAACCCCTAGTGATGGGTCTGGTCAACCAATAGCGTCCAATGACGTCATCAAAACCGCTCCACCCTCTGGCAATGGTAATCACTGCCTTTCCACATTAAAAACATTGGTAAGTGACCTGCTTTCCTGAGTGCATACTGTATTCTCATCGCACGATTCTCCAGGTGTCGCAGTTCTTCTGGGCTGCTGCGCTACGCATTCATCATTCTGCAGGATTGGCTTCTCCGATGGGCAAGCGCACAGCTGAAGTGGTTCGAGTCAGTTCCAAGAGTTACAAAATTATGTTCTTAATGATAAAAAGAGGCATCAGTTGTTCGAGATAAGGGGGCCGAACCGAAAAGTAGCGAAATTATCTGCCTAACCCCTGGTGGTACTCCTATCTACATACTTTCACTCTCACGAAACTTCCCTCTCTCTCCCACCCCCCCCCCCCTCTTGGCTACATATAATCCGTATATATTCCTCGGCGACGACTTTTGAAGTTTTAGGGGTCCTTGGCGGTGAATAGAGGAGGAAGGGGTCGCATTCGTTTGATGGATGTGTCACGTAGTACCAGGTTCAGCCACATAACGAAGGATACCACCGTCGTGGGGAATCATGGGAGAAGAAGTAGATCGTTTCAGTGGTCTGCGATGAAGTACACCTTAGGGAGGGTGGGGGGGGTGGCGAAGGAGAACGGGACAAAGGCGGGTCGTTTTCCGCCAGAAATTCCTGCGACATGGCGCACACTGGTCATTATTCACATTCCTATTTTAAATATTCAATCGAAATAAACGACATGTAAATGCAATAGTGGCCGAAGGCCACGGCAAAAAGTAATAGCGAGAAAAAATTCTCACGACGCTGAATGCGAACGTACCCCTTTCTCGTACAGTTACTACATCAGGCCACACAGATTTCATCACATGAACATTTTCTGACCCAGTGTGGCCGAGGCATATGTAAGGATGCCTAGGAATTGTGTCGATTAAAATGCATTGCATGCTTACTGGTTCGAATAGTACGAAGTAAATATGGTGTGATAGGATAGCAGTGTAAGTTCAATCGTTCAAAAGGACATTCTATACGCAGTTCCAGTGCACACACGTGTGGTAAATTTTCGAAATATTAGAATTGGAATCGATATTTCCAGCCCAATCTATCAATTAGTACGACAGTCAAATTGATTAACACCTTGACGACAGCGTAATTACCATGCGAATCATGCTTTGCAAGCCGCGCGGGACGGTGTGATCCGTATGTATACCGCACCGGAGTAACTCTCGTTTGTGCATGCGCAGCGCGTCGTGCAGTTTTTTTTAAATTCACACTACAGATCGTCCCTTAATGTAACTATAAATAAAGTGGTTCGCAGAATAGTCAGACATGCCAAAGTTTAGCAATGGAAAATTTAAAGACAATATAGATTTCTAGGGACAAAGAGGTATGCGTTTAACGGAAACATCAAAGCAGAAGTGATTTTGACGCCCATTGCAGTGAAATCCAATGTATCTTGTCGCCACCACACGTCCTGTCGGCCAAAACTCTATTATACTATTGTGCCCTGGATAAATTTAAAGGCAGTGATCACGATGCTGGAGGTCGGTGTGATTTTATGCCGTCATGAAACGTCATTGGCGAACTAGACTCCTCAGCGCTTGTGGGCGTGGTTGTGACGGCCTCTTGAAGCCATTCCAGAAATGACGTTCAATGACGTTATCAAAACCGCACCACCCACCTGCTATCGTGATCGCTGCCTTTGAAATATTGATCAATATTTTGTAACCTTCATATTTTGCATATTCACAACACGAAATCTACGTGTGGTGAGACGGCCACACTCGCAGAAGCACTCCGGTCCCAGGTGGCCAAAAAACGCCAGAACGCACGCTATTGTCAAGGTATCAACTCTTGAATTATTAGAGCCTCAAGTACATATTGATCAAAAACGGTAGCCTGCAAAACCGTAGTGAAGTTATTTCAGGCTGCATTTTCATGTACACAAGATACCATAGCTAACTATTATAGAATTCCAGCTTAGTAGTTTTCAGCACAGCACACAACAAGCATTTCTCATGAAAATTCGCAAAAAGCAGTGTCGCGTTAGCAAATGAAAGCCGTTCAAGAAAATACACGTGAATTTGGTATTCGAATAAGAACGGATGCAAAATTGACTTTTCAGTAGAAGCGTGAATTTTAAGAGCAAAAGCCTATGAATCAGCAGGATGAGCGGGTTTGGGTCAGGACTTCCGACCAGTCATCTAGCCTCAAGGGGCAGGCCGCTCGCGGCGATCATTGAAAACTGTAAACGTACAGATACGAATATGTATGGATGAGAAGCCCTTAGATCATCAACTTCGGTGTTTTCATTAGAATGACTCTTAAAGGCAGTGGGTACGACAATCCGAAAAATTAACAAAGGGAATCATGGCTACTGCTGTAAAGGAAAATTAGCTTAAACGAACGAAGTGGCTCATTTTGTGCCAAACATTGAGTATTTAGGAACCTAACTGGGCCTTATCTGCGGCAGGGAACACATTCGTGGTTGAGATCGGCTCCTATTGGCTGCCCCAGCTGCTGATCTCTGTCTCTCAGCGCTCTTTGAGCAGAGAGTCAGAGCGGCTCGTTCACGTTGATGAGGTTAGGTGTTGTTGAATCTCTTCCAATGTTGAGATTACGGGTACCCGACAGGAGGCCCGTCGCGCGGCAAGAAGGCAGAGTCAGCGGACGAGTCGCAGCGCGTGATGTGCGATGTAGGACGTACATTCTATTTAACTTGACGCGAAATCACTACAGTACGCGCTGCGACTCGTCCGCTGACTCTGCCTTTGTTGCCGCGCGACGGGCCTCCTGTCAGGTACCCGAGATTTACGGACAGAATGAGGGTCTTATTTTTCGGAGTTTGAGCCGTTTCTTTTGATTTTTTCCACTGCTGCACCACTGAACATGTGCAGATTTATCTTCGTAGGAGGAATGAATTAGAGTACCCACTGCCTTTAAGTAACATTTTAAACATCATATGTTATCAAAAATTCTACCAAAATACACGGTAAAGAATATCGTTCAGTCTATTTTTGGGGTTGTCTCATTTCATTTCATTTTTTACTGGCATCTTCGCCGCGACCACGACGCATTTGCCGCGCGCGTGGCGATGCCACCACCTGTCGGGAGTCCTGACCGTCTCCCAATATTAGTGCCCTCGCCTTTAAGGTCTTGTAATGCAGATGAAGCTTGCAGAAGTCCAAAAGGACTCTATTCACGTGCACTATAGCAGAGATAAGCTGAATGTACTACTGGAAGCCAAACAAACCACCTTGATGTCTCGCTTTTCCGCGTGCTTTTTTCCGTCCAGCTTCATGCGGTGGTACACATCCGTCATGGTGCAGCACATAATCATCAGGACACTGACAGTTAAGATCACGACACACAGTGTTGCTGCGACAGTACAAGCCAATCGCAGCGCATTCATCGGTTTCTGAAGCCGTATTAGCGAAGGTTAGCAATGGTGTTGTAGCATGCGTGGGAACTGGTTGGGATGATGAGCGTGGTTGAAACGGCTGATGCGTATGGTGATGAGTGAACTCGGCAGCGTGCACGCTACCTGGACTCAATATGTGAGCTGACGATGCGGACGGTGCCGACGTGGCAGTACTGGGCTCACAACGGCCTTGTGGAGACGGATGCATACCCGACGGGCACACACATAGACCATCAACGCACATTGCGCCTCCAACACATGTGTCAAGAGGACCTAAAATTGTAATTTGGTGAGAAATATCAAAGGTATGTCAGAAGCATCGTACGAATAATTCTTGTTGTTGGGACTCTGCCGGCGCCTCACGAATGCCTTAGCGTACTGAATAATATGTTGGCCATTTTGCCCAAGAATGGAAAAAGATGTGATAACTGATAAACTAGTGATGAGAGAGAAAAGAACCGCAGAACCATTCACTCCACATTGCGCGCTAATGTGGGTGGGGTTTGCGCCACGCCCCTCACTTCTAATTGGTTGATTCCCGTCATGGTGCCATCAAATTCGAGAAAAGAGGAAAGACTAAGCAGTGAGAGGGTGGCGGCAGGACGCAAATGTGTTAACCTCACAGCAGTTTCACTTATTTCCTTTCACTACTGGTCACATACATGTTATATTTTCATTTGCGTACGAAATAATGCACACCTTCGGCCGTGGTATGCCCCGTATGAGCCCGAAAATCCATCTGATGGTTTCTGCAGCATCTCACATAATACACCCTCAATCAATTGGGAAAGCTCACTGTCGAACAACGCCGATGACATACACCACCAACTAATTCGAAGATGATGCACATGTTTAGTTTACAAATAAAGTAACCATTGCTATACTGGATAAACCTGTCATTTGTCAATTCACAAATTAATAGAAAACAGACCACAATTTGCTCCGGCCGCAACTTTACGTCCTTGTGAAAGTGTGCATGGAATTGTAGTGACTCGAAGTTGATTGCGTTGGTTGGGTGTGGGTAGCCTTAACAAATATTGATTAGAAATCAATAAAAATCAATAAGTTTGTTCAGAAAAGAATTAAGCTCTTCAGGCAAGAGTCCAAGCTATTATAAAACATCCGATCGTGCCCTTATGTGTAAAAAAAACCTTGTACGGAGCTCCTTTTAGATACAGAAATCGCATACGCTAGCTATATGTAGGCAAATTAGGCTTGTGAAGTTCCTCTCCACGCGCAAATTGCAGCCGCGCGCGACGATTGGTCGTTTGGTCGCGTCAAGTCGCGTGCGGCCAGCGGCAATTTCGCGCGGCGCACCAAATGACACACACTCGCGGAGTGAGACCCATAACTTTACGTCAAGAAGTTGTATTTGGACAGAAAATATTGGATATACAGCCACAAAATATTGCATTGATTTGGAAAGTACTAAAAATGATAAGTTGCTAAAATCGTACGTATTGATGTGTGTTTGGCTGGTAGGTCTGTTGTGCTGATGAGTAAACGTAACCAGACTGAATGGAAGAGTTTTCTATTAATAGTGTTTAATAAAAAATAATTCCAGAACTGACCGATGGAGGCAGAGTAGGTCGTGGTCCTGGTTGAATGCAGATTCCACGTTGAACAATCATCGATGGATCCGGGCAGATACACCAACCCTCACGGCATAGTGAACCACCCTGTGCATATTCTAGCGTCCGTACATGAGCCGCCTGGAGGAGATGTAGACGGCTCACTGGCTAAAAATACCAACCATTGCGATTGATACTGCGGAAAGATGCTGGTGCCATTAGGTCCGATTCAGCACATCGCGAATTTATTGCGATCCGCTAGAACCGCTAGTACTGCACGGATACAGTTACAGTTATGACCTGTCACGCGGATTGCAAGTGCAGTGTAACTTTCCGAGGGCGACAAGGAACGTTAACATTAGGAAGTGAACATTTTTCGATAAAAAATGATCAAACGATTCTTCAGTTCGGTCCTATAAGAGCCACCGTAACCCACGTTGGCGCTGGGGCGCGCAGTGCTACAAGTTGTCGATTCGGTTTAGACGAGCCTTTTCTCCGTTCCCTCTGCGCACTCTACGACCAGAAAATATGCTTCAGTTATCGAAGCGCCTCCGCTGTAAAGGAAGACTGAGGGACGGAGTGGAGCCGGAAGTGGTGTGATGAAGCTTTTCTTTTTCTGCTGGGAGCGCTAAGCGCGCAATGTTGAAGAGCTGAATGATTCTTTCCAAGGGTCGTCGCAGAGTGTAAGGTGATCTGCACCCGGTAGCTCAACGACGCTCTCGAGTGCCAACATGGATTACGGTGGCTCTCAGGGGACGGTGCTGAAAAATCGCTTGTGTTGAAGGAATTAGACGAAATTAGCTCTGAGAATCGTAGAAGCGGTGCCGCAAAACCCACCGAAAAATGGAGTTCTTTAAACAAGGGCAAGGTTTGAGTTCCATTGAATTTTCAAGATACCGCCCCATAACTGCTGAACACGCAACCAACCGCAAGCATCGCCTGTTAGGATTGGAGCGCATTATCTCAAAAAATTGATCATGGCTGTTCGGCCCCCGACCATCTTAACCCACTCTTGTCCTGCCGCACTTTATGGATATTTTTCCAATTTTGAAATATCT